GGTTCAGCTCCTGCACCGCCGTCACCACAGCGTAGACGGCGTCAAACAGCAGGGCAGAGGAGAGCTGGGAGGGGGCAGAGAGACGAAGTGACAGGTGTAAAGGAAGGAAAGGGGAGGGAGGGAGGAAGGAAAGCAAAACAGAGAAGTAAAGGCGTGTCTCTGATGCCCTGGGCCCACCTCCTGCCTCTGGGGTCCACTTCCCCTAAGAGTCCAGTGCTGGCCCAAGGCGACAATGGTGGCCAGCCCTTCTCTGAAACTGGACCATCAGGCCACCTCTTTGGGCCCCAGATGATTTCAAGGGTATCCTATTCTCTCTTTTCTCCAGGGAAGTAACATCTTCCACTGATCTGAGAAGCCCCAAGGAAGGGGCAGGGTGCTTATCTCAGGAGGTGGAAGGAACCCTACCCTCAGATTTGCCCATTCTGCAAGGCTCAGTTGAAGGTCACTTCCTCCTGGAAGACCCCCTTGATATTGTTTCTTCCTAAATGTACCTGCTATTACAGTCTACTTTGTACTATTCAATATGATGAGCATATAGGAAGTATATGGTGAGTTCAAAGCCCAGCAGTAAGCAAGACCCTGTTCCTTTGATAGACGAGAGTGGAACTGGGGAGGGGACATGGGGAGATAGGACACAAATAAAGGTAACATGAAACTGAGTGACATGGGCCAGAAGGTCTGTTGGGGGCGTCCAAAGAGAAGATACCTTAACTGGTTGGGTGACCAAGAAAATGTTTCTTGGAGGATTCAGCATTGGAACTGAGCACTGAAGGATTTGGTAGGAAAGACATTGGATCTGGGGGTGGGGAGAAGCTGGGAAGAGGAGAAAGGCATTCCAGAGGGGGAACTGCGGGGCCAAAGTGTGGGGGAGGGTGGAGCACACATGGGGGGGAGGAGGGCAGAAAGCAATAAACCAGAAGTGAGGTGGGGAGAGTGCTGTGAGGGCCTCAAAGGCAGGGGAAGGGCTAGTGCAGCTGTTTGTCCATAGTTTCACCTCCCTGTGAAACCGCCAGCGCTTAGGGCGGGAACACACAGGACCTCAATCTCTATCTCCTGCATCTCATCTAGAGCCACGACCCTGCGTACAGGAAGCCCCCAAGACGTATTTCTTGAATTGAATTAAATGTTGAGTGAAATCTGCCCACAACGCTCAGCCTGAACATACATCCGGTTAACCGGATGTTTGCAAGCTTTGGGGAGGGGAAGGTTGGGGTGTTTGTGAGGAGGTGGTAGGAGCAGAAGAACAGAAGATGCCTGTCCTTGGGGAATGTGCCATCTGAGGAGGGGGCCACACTCTGCTGTGTTAATGACAAGAGAATCTACCCAGTGTGAATGACTACGGGGTCTACACTGTACGGGGCCCTGAGGGGAGGCCCAGGAAGGCAGGCAGAGGCCTCCTCTTGGGAGGTGTGATGTTGGCCTCTGGAATTCAACCCACGGTCCCAGTGCAAAGCAAATTGCTCACTGAACTCTGACATCCCACCGCGGGCAATCAGTACCGTCCCTTCAGAGCCTAACCCGTCAAGAACACTCTCCATGTGGCATCTTACAACCTCCCTCCTGGCTGGCCGGGCCCTGGGACACCGGTCCCTCCAAGGCTGGAGGCAGAGGGACCAGCTTGTGACCTCTTGGATCTTTTTCAAGCTCTCCAGACAGTGTATAAGCAGCCTGAGTCAGGGAAGTGCAGGAGAAAGGGCTCAAAACTCAGACCACCGAACCCTGAGTCTAGCGCCCAGGCCTCTCTTACGTGCTGAGTGACGGAACCTCGGGGGCAGCAAGTTTCCTGCACACGAGAGGTAGCATCCCTGCCTCACGGGTCAGTGAAAGTGCCCTCTAAACTGCCAGTCTCAGGGGTCACCATACCCGAGGGCGGGGTGATGCACCCCAGGTGCCCACGGGCATCAGCAGGGGCTCAGGAGGCCCGTGCTGGCTGAGCTAGGACCCTGAGGAGTAGCAAGAACAGGGGGCGACGGGGCAGAAAACGGGCTGGGATGTACTTCCCCACAGTTTTGCTCCATGTTGGGAAAAAAGGTCTGTCATGGGAACTGGGTGGGCTGACTTTGGATAATCTTTCTAGAGGCAATTAGAGGAAAAACAGCCGAATAAAGTTATCTGCCCCAATCCCGGTTCACTTGCACGCAAAACTGCCTGGCCAGTGTGTTCTTCCTTCCTCCCTCTCACTCTCTCTCCCTCTCTTGCTGCTTCTTTCCTTCCTTCCACCCGCCTCTGTCCTTTCTTCACTCATCTATTCAGCCCCTACGATCCGGCGGGTACTGCAGACCTCAGCACCTCCTGTTCTCCGCTGAGACATCCCACCAGGCGTGAGCCATTGTGTCCCCTCTGCCTTCACTGGGTCTTCTGCCCTCCCAGCTCTATCAATCACCCCTCCTTTCTGGCCCAGTCCTGAAGCCACCTGTGGCCACCTGTGACCTGGAGACAAAGCAGGTAAGGGCACCTAGATCGCACGATCAGGGTCAGTGGAAACCTCTGTGGTCCCGCTGAGCCGTGAAAACCAGCCACGTTCCTCCAAGTTCATCCATCACCTTCCGCGTCCTCTTCCCCATCCCCTGCCCTTCCCCTAGCAGCTGAGCTCCTCCCTCACTTGACTCGAGGCTCACCTGCATGGTGCTGGCTGCTTCTCAGCAAGCCTACAGCTGTCTTGTCCTTTGCACACAACTCATTTCCCCCTGAGCACAAGCGGCTCCTTTATTAACGGACCTCTCACAGTTCCTTGCCAAAGGACATATGGAAATTACGAATGCTACAGACTCTCCCTTTCCAGCTCGGACACACATCTACCTGAGGGAGAGTTAGCTATACCCCTATCGACACTGCCTCTGCACCCTTCCGTTGGGCTATTTAAATGATGCCGTAAACTAATTTCTGTCTCCCTTGCCTCCCCGTTAATCTCTCCATCCTGAGAGTCTCAAAATCACTCGTGTCAGAGCTGGAAGGGATCTTAGAAATCAACTAGTCCAACCCTCCCATTTTACAAATGAAGACAGGACTTCAGCCAGGACAGGACTAGACTGGAAGCCCAGCACTCCTTTGTCCAGGATGGTTTCCACGCCTCTCTGCAGCACTCTTT